AATGAATCAAGTTTTAGAGCAATATTTGAAGTATACCATCAACTATTATTAAGATGATTTGACAACTATTTTGTTATTGACAAAGTTTACGTAAAAATAATTTGATATATTTTTCTACTCAACAAAGACCTTTCTTTGTCAATTATGGTTATCATCCATGACTTGATATTTTTGACTTTTCAAAAGTTAATAATCTTATGGCAGAAGATTTGGCAAATTATTTGTCAAAGTTGCATACAACAATAAAGACATAGTTAAAGAAATCTCAAGAAAAAAAAATCAATATAAATACTAATTGTAAGGAACAACCACAATTCATTGTAGGTAACAAAATATGGCTACTTTGTCCCAATGTCAAGACTATTCATCTTTGTGATAAGTTGGACTATTGTAGGCTTCGATCTTTTTTTATTTGTGAACAAGTCAATTATATTGTTTATTAATTATATCTATTAGAATCTATGCAAATCCATCCCATATTTCACATGTCTCTTTTTGAACCATATAAAACAATGAATAGGTTGAAAAGAAGATAAATGCCACCTCTTTTCATAAAAATGGATAATGATCAAGAGTTTGAGGTGGAAGAAGTCTTAGATTCAAGGCCGTGCCAAAACAGATTAGAATATATTATTCATTGGTATGAATATGATATTAATAAACATACATGGGAGCCAATAAAAAAATCTTATAAATGCAATAAAGGATATTGAGGCTTTGCATTGACAACATCCAGCAAAATCAAGATCAAGAATAGTAAATCTTTGCTATAAAAGAAACAAGATCTAAAAAAGATAGCATTCTATCTTCTACTTTTATTTGTAATTTTTATTTATTTATGATGCTAAAGAGATAAAGAACTAATAATAAACAAATTCAATTCAAGAATTATTACTTATTGGCTTATTAGATAAGATATTACAATTTTTACAACCTTCAAGATGATGGAATTAAAATGAACATCGTCAAGAACAAATATCTTTCCTTGAATATATACTTAGATATAACATATATGATATTGTGACCTTGGAAGAAACTCTCAATATTTGGTGATTTTATTAGAAGTAGAAATAACTCTTAACAATATTCTAAATATTTTATTTAAAAAAGCTTACATAAACTTCAACAATGATCAAATAATAGGATGGTCTTTTTGCCCTAGTATGTGATACTATCAATAGTTGAAAGGACCTATCAACCATCTTCAAAGAGAACAAAGATCAGAGTATGTTGCAAATACAAATTGCCACATCTTGGATATTCTCAACAAATGATGATCACTCCTCATCGAAATCGTCCCTAGAAAGAGGAATAATGTTACAAACATACATATTTATTATAATGTTTATCTATATAATTAAATAGAAATAAATAAATATAAATTTATTTTATAATATTTTCTAGAAAAGCTTTCTAAAAGCTTCCTAAAAGCTTCATGAATGTTACTTTGATTTTACATATATTTGTAGTTAATTGGTAAGTTAGAAACTAGATTAACAAGTTAATCACATATAGGTAGCTTCTGGAACTAACTAACTATGTGGCATACATATAAAAAACTTGCCTCACATGTTAAAATATGTATCTTGCAAAGTCAACACATTTTGGAGGTCTTATAGGACATTACTATGTAATTCATAGTTAAGAGTATATATGAAGCCAAAAATGAAGCCTTCTTCATTCTTTACAATACCTTATTAGTCTTTAGTCTTATTTCAAGACTTTCTAATCTTCTTGTATTTAATAATAGCTATTCTAATTTAATACTATATCATCTTTGAGTAATTTTTTTGTCTTTTTGAATGACATTAGAGTGTATTGAGGATTTCTTTTATTAAGATTCATGACCTTGGTAATTTTCCATTCAATAAAAATAAAAATAAAAATAAAAATAAATAAACTCCAAGATCTTCTACCTTAAGCTTTTATGTTGGATTCATCACTTATATCATATTATGTGTATTCTTGCTTAAGAATGTATAAGACAACATCTGTGGAAGGTAAGTAGAAAAGCAACAATAATCCTACCAAGTCTAATAGAATCTTAAATAAATTTTAAATATTCCTTAATAACCTTAATGAAACTTTTATCAATCCAAAATAAATTTAAAAGAAGTTGTAGAAGAAATACAAAGAACTTATAAATTAATTTTTTTTAAAAATAATAAAGAAATTTCAAATAAATATAAAAATAAACCTGTATATAAATAATAATAATTTTAAAGAAATATTAGAATAAAAAATTAATAAATAATAAAAAATCCTTTCAAAATATTTAAAATAAAAATTTTAATTAAATCCTAAATAAATCCTACATCAAATCTTAATTAAAATTATAATTAAAATCTTAATTAAAATCCTATTGAATCTTAAACAAAACTTAGGTCAAATCTTAATTAGAATCTTAATTGAAATCTTAATGAATCTTAATCAAATTTTAGGTCAAATCCTAATTAAATCTTAATCAAATTCTAATCAAATCCTAAATCCTAGACTAATCCTAATAAAATACTACTAAAATCTTAATCAAACTTCAAGATAAATTTCAATTAAATCTAGATCAAACCTTAATCAAATCCTAATCAAATCTTTATCAAATCCTAATCAAACTCTATTCAAATCCTAATCAAATTCTATTCGAATTCTAATCAAATCTAGATAAAATCTTAAATCCTAATTAAATCTTAGATAAATCTAAAATCCTAATTAAATCTTAAAAAAACCATAAATCTTAAATAAAGCTCTTAATAATCCTATAAAATATTAAAATTTTAATAACTAATTATTAAATCATTGGTTTTGATTTAAACTTTGTACACCTTGAAATAACTAAGTTAACAACAAGTACAAAAAATTTGAAGAAGATTGTACATACTTTATAGACAATAATTCCAAACTTCCGCTTGAGGGTTGGCCGGCCTTCTTTTTCAACCTTGATGTTGATATTCTTGAGTCATGATCTCTTAATTATACCATTCAAATTGTTCCAATTTTTTTTCAATTATTGAAAACCAAGATAGTGATCTTTGAAAAAAATTGTATGTCAATCCAACTAGTAGATTGATAAATATCTTAGAAATCCTCACTAATCTTCTAAATTCCAATTTTTAAGACCATAACTTACAAATACCATTGTATCTCATAATTTGATTGTTCGAATATCCTCAAATTTTTCAAATAAATTTATAATAAGTACAACAATAAAATTTTCAATTTTCACTTATAAATATACTACAAAACTCACAAAATTCTAAACTTTGTAAACTTATTTTTATTTCTCAAAATCCAAATCCATGAAGAACATTATTAACTTTGAAAATCTCAGTATTAATCCAAATGACATGAAATTAATACTTGAAAATCTCTCCTCTAATCTACACTCAAATTCTACTCTTTGATTTGTAAAAGAACCTTAGAATCAACATAAGTATATGGTTTTGTGCCTTCGGATCTGATTTCAATCCATGTTGACAACCAATCCTCTTTAAGTATGAATTTTTGATAATTTGAGGTAAATTTTAGTTTAACCTATTGTTAACTCTCTCTTAAATATACCTATATTAATTTCTTATTTCATCTTTTTTTTATTTGGCTCATTTATATCTCTACAAAATAAATAGAAGTCCTTTCTACAAAAGGGAGTATTAAGACTAAAATTCATGATATGCCTAAAATTCATGATATTTTGTAAACTCTAATCTTAATTATATTTGACTAAATGTGGATTTTTTGGCTTCTTTTGCTCAACTTTAGATTTAAAGCTTATTTAACATGATATCTTTTTTATAATATAATCATTCATAATAATATGAGCTTCTTTTGCTATGTAAATGCATACTTTAGATGTTATCTCAAAGCCACCAATAGTGATTCCTTGCACATATGCTCTCTAATTTGTTACATTGAATATTTATAGTCTATTATCAAAACTACAATTTATATCATTCAACTTAATAAATGTTTCTTTCAAAGTTATGAAAATACTCTAAAATACTAGCAAATCTCTTGCAATCTTTTTAGTACTCTCTCCTCTCTTTAACCTTACTAAAGCTCTAATTTCTATACATTGCCTTTCAGCTTGAGAAACATACCTTATTGAAGTCTTTTTGCCATGGTATACATTATTGGTGTATAAGATTATATAATTAGAGCATATTATTGTATCCATGCTCTGAACCAAGTACAAAAAATCACTAATAAATATTAGTTTTGTAGTTTAGATTATATTTATTCCTTACAATCAAAGTATAAACAAATTTGAATTTAAAAGGCACATGATTTGATCAATATGTTTTTCTCTTCTATTTTTATTGTTAGACTTTTAATTTTATTGTGACATTATTGATTTATTTTAGAAGCTAATTTTTTTTTTCAAATTTGATGTTTACTATAACACATTAGTCATAGTCCTTAATTAAAATTAAGATTATTAGTTTTATACTTAATTATGCTTATCATTGTAGACTTAGAGTCTTTGTGTTGATAACTTAAACTTATTAGTTGGTAAATTAGATATAATCACATAAAATGGTCTTAAAAATTAATTAGCAATAAGTAGTATTAATAAGTAACTTTTTGTTTTAATCATTTTATATTTAAAATATTCATAAAATAACTAATAAAAAATATTTAATAACCATATATGCTGAATAATGGAATAGTTATATTAACTACTAAGATTATATCAATTAACAATAAACAAAGTAATTTAACATGAGTGAAACCATGCAAAGAGTCTTAATTATTCTAAATTTTGGTGATAAAAAATTAGAACTACATGACATAATACATTCAAAATCACAAAATCAAAATATTTTTTTGAATACTGATTTCCAAGTAACACCATAAGTATAAAGAAATTAACAAATTTTTTTAAGTAACATATATATATATATATATATATATATATATATGACTTGAAAGGGAGAGAATCTTTAATGCCACATATTAATGACCATTTTTTTATTTTCAGAAGTTGCCAACAATGAAAGTTAAGAGAATTAAATAATATTTATATATATTACTGTAGATAAAATGGTAAAGTCGTCAGACATGTCATGTTTACTCGTTTCACATGTCCTCAAACAAGAGGAGGGAAACTCAAAATTAGTTCTTTCTACCGCCGAATATTCCAAAGCAACTTGACAGGATTTATCTTGTTTTACATTCTACAGTTAACCCAAATCACCATTCCAAAAAATTAAAATTAAAAATCAAATGGTTTGAGCGAAAACATGATGGACCTTCTAATAGCTTGCTGATCAGTTCAATGTTTTGGTGGAACCAGTGAATATTCAGAGGAGTTGAAGGGTTCACACAAACATGACACTGATCACAAAAGAATGGTATTCAGGGAGACTGCTGGTTTGTTCTACGCACTGAAGAGAGTTCTCATGAACTCAGAGCAGGACTTCTTTTTGCAAATGGATCCGTTGTCCCAAACTGCAAAACTCAAGCTCAAACACAAACCACATTCTCCATATTGTGTGTCTCTTCATCAAATATGCACGGAAAGCGAAAGAGAAGATGGGTTTGTCAAGCAGTTGGGGAGCTAAAGCTTTGCATTGATCTAAACCAACGCCATTGCCAAAAACCTGAATGCAGCACAACCCGAGGTTCAGGGCACGAGAAAGATCAATAAATTGTTTTGCTTCGTCTTTCATTCATTTGCGAGAGTTTAGAAAAATGCCCACGTCAGGGTTGAGATCCAAAGAGCTTGAGGAAGTTGATCAGTTGGGGGAGAAACAGATGCAGCTGCTCCAGGTGTTCCTTTTCTTCGTCCTACTATTGGGGCACTTGGGACTGGAGGACCGGGAAGAGTGACCTCTGATCTTCAACATGATTTGTTGTATGAAGTGGCCACCCTCTGGTGATCTTCTTCCACAGCACATTCTGTGCACATCCTCAGCCGACAAGCTCCTCAGTGGTGTCCGGGGTCGTCCTCTCTTCTTCCCTTTCTTTCGGCTCCCCCGATCTCCACTAGATAAGAAAGACGTGAAAGAGGGAGCTCTTACAGTGGCGTCCATTTGTCCTCTTCTCAACGAGCCAGAGGCGGAAGGGACCTGATGATCGTCTAATGAGACTGGGTTCCCTGGCGAAGGGGAATGGACAAAGGCATTCGCTGCTGCTGCTGCTGGTTCGTCGTCACGGCCAGGAGTTCCACGTCCTCCGCTGGAATAGATATCTGCTTGCTCCTCCCATAGCCTGTCCTGATGAGAGCTCGAAAAGGATGGATTGGCCAGAATGGAGGTTGAGCAAGGGCCAAGGCGGTACACATCTACAGACGCATTTCCAGAAGTAGCAGCAGCTTGCAACCTTGACACAAAGCTTCGTGACCTCTCCCTGGTGATGGCCATACTCGTATCCATTGAGGATAGTGCTTGTCCAAGCCGGCCACCAATTGAATTTGAGGTTTTAACAGCCTCTGCACACAGTGGAGATTCCTAAATTTAGATCTGCATTCGACTTGAAAATGATTTCGATTCAATAAAAATATTGCGCTATATTCCATACAGCAAATTTAAAAACTACAGCTAAATCTTGATGAGAAACCACCTGCCGAAGAGTCAAAGTCGTAGGAGGTCCTTCCCTTGCTAGTCCTTCTCCTTGACTTTCCACTTCTATCCTCAACATTAACTGCAGAGGTTGCTGCTGATGTACTGTTCGTACACTTAGTCTGGTTCTCAAATTTTTCATCAGCCGCGTGTTGCTGCAGATTCGAATTCATCCGTTCCGAAACTTTATCAGAAGAACAGCTCCCCCCGTCAACCAAAGTAGGAGTCATCCCTTCATGTGTGCAGGTGCATTCCGCTCTTTTAATCCCCCGATCAGAAAAAAGTCTTGGGATCTTCTCGTGGTGGTTATGTTTCCGAGTTTCACACGTACAAGCTCCTCCATTTCCTTCAGGAAAACATCCCAAATCTCATACTGTCAAGTGAAGCTGGGAAAGCAAATACATCTTCCATACTGGAAAGACATCAGACACCATTATAGGCACTTGCAAAATGTATGAAACAGAAGTTTGGCCTTTACTAAACAAACCTTCAACTACTTGGTGCCTGCGTCTTCAAACAACTATCTTTTTACTTCCAGGCTTTTATATTGGTACCATTTTTTCTATTAAGTTATTTGTGCAGAAATTCTCTTCTTATTTGTGACTGGCTATTAACATCTGAATCCGAGATAAACCTACCTGAGCCATCGATACCCTTTCGAACATCCTTGGAGTATTGCTTGAGCTCAACACGGTCGCCGGCAGAGTCGATCTCAATGTTGATAAACTTGGAGTACGTTGATTTAACCTGCAGTGACAATGTAAAGAGACAATTAGGACACGATCTCGTGCTGATTGATTTCAACCACCTCTGTAAAGCTCCAGGGGGACAAGAGGTAAATAATCAAAAGTTTTCACGTACAAAGCTTGTGAACAGAAGATATGTGCCTAAATATATATATATATATATATATATATATATATATATTCTTTCACTCACACTGTACTAGCTGATACAAAAAGGGTTAAGATGACGCATACCGCATCTTCTGATTCACAATGACAGACAGTGAGAGAAGAATTCGGAGATCTAAATGACTCTGGTGATCTTCCCATAGATATTTGTGCTGTTTTCTGAATTACATACTCTCTGGCTCGCAATGCTTCAGCTCCAGAAATGATTTCAGCGGGCCCAACTTTGGGCAATCTCCTCGTCACCATCGGCCCAGAATCTGACACGCGCACAACTTTGAGCAGCATGGCCCCAATTCCTGAGGCTGAAACACTGCGCCTCCTTTTTCTAAGCTTCTTTTTCCGTTCAGCACCTGCCCCGGGTTCACAGCTCACGCTCCTGTTTAGGCAAACGTCTGAGTTGCAGGTCCTTCTCGGATCAGTCACTTCTTCAATCTTTAAACCTGATGTAAGTACTTGATTGCCTTTAATTTCCCCAATTGACTCCAGTGATTCATCTTGTTGAGGTTCTTCGGAGATAAACAAGGGGCCAGAGAGGTAGTCCTCTCTTTGAAGGCTGGACCTCACTGCAGCCTCTGTGAGTTCTGCCTCAGTTACTTTTCCAGTGGTCAACAGAAGAGTCTGGAAATCGGTACTGTCTTCAGGAGAATCAGTTTCCTGTCGCAAATTAAGGGATCTCTCTGGGTCTAAATGAAATGAGCTCTGTGTACTGCTATGTAGTGAGCTCAGTGAAGATGACGCCTTGGATGTAGCCAGTGACAAAACCCCTTGGTGGTTCGTGTCCGAGATTGTCGATTGAGACCCGTAAACAAGGATTGGTGTGTTAGTTGCACCAGCATCTGCACAAGATTCACAGTCAATACTCTACGCTTCAAGAAAAGAATATGTCTAATTTGAAGGTAGTTATAAATCAGCACCAGGTTTCACGTCAAATGGAAAGGAATATATCTTCCAACCGTGATGATTGAGATTGGTGGAGCACGAAGACTGCTTCATGAGAGTCGGATTACAACTCTGAATACTCCCTGCGGCTCCAATTGAATGAGTACAAGGTAATCCAGAATCAGCTTCTTCGATGATCGGTTTGGGGGATTCTTCATCTGCACTCGCTGAATTTTCGGCTTCCCCATCATCCTTCAGCATTGCTTTTGTGCTGTCATTGTCAAATTTGTGCAAGGATGATGGTTTTAAGATCAATGGAGCAGCGCAATCTGAAAAAGTGAGGTAAGTAAGTAGTTTGATTTGTTTTTTCCGAGATGAGATAGATAGCTTTGAAGATGGACGCAGTTGTTAACTGACAAGTACTTCCCAAAGAAAGAAAAATAAATGGAATCAGTTGATGCCTTCCAAATGAGTTGTATATCTGGAAGGAAAAGTGTTGAAGTACCTTCTGTGTCCTTGGTTGATGAATCAGAGCCTCTCTCCTCGCTCCCACTGAAGTCCCTATTCTGATCTGATGCTACTTGAAATTTCTGTCGCAAAGATATCACTTCTTCTGGCAACGCTCTGTGAGCCAGTCTTGACATGGACATGGAGCGCTCAATCTTTCCTGCAGAGTGGAAAAGGGAGGCTGCGATCTTTGCCACTGAATATTGGTCCATCCTAGATGACAGGCTCTTCCCTTTCTCCCCCAGTGATTTCTCCGAAGACTTGATCCTGAAAGAAGAACTTCTCCCCTTCTCCCCCGGTGTCTTCTCCGCAGACTTGCTGGATGTGATGAGGTTCCCGGAACAAATTCTCCTGTGACCTGCAAATTCATGCCCAAGCTCTACCGTACATAATCAGTGCACGTGAAATGACTTTTGGGAGAGACGAATTAATCCATCTCATAGCACAACGTACTGCCTCAAACATTAACAGCAGGCTGCAACCCCAACTTTGGATGATTGAATTGTTCATGACATGATGGAAAGGGCATAGAGTACACGCAAGGCTAACCTCGGAATGGATTGAAGCTCATAGCTTTTCTGTCTGAAGAAGACCCTTCAACTACCACATCGATTCTCCTCAAATAATCCTCAGTGCCGGTGAGAGACGATGGCTTCCTACTCCTGGACTGCTTAGCTACTAGAAAAGAAGAGACGGACTTCTCCTCAGTGACCTTCGAGCAGCCCATTGCACTGGAAGCTCTTTTTACATCACAGTTGCCACTTTCTTGGTGGCCGAGCTGCTCAATCTGAAGAGAGAGAGACGGCCGAAGTGTACATACAGCAGTAGGGTTCTCCATGTTTTTATTTTATGCCGTTTGCAGCATCTCCTATAAATCACCTCTTCACGCGCCATCAATCAGAAAGTAGCTGTGTCATCATCGATTCAAAAAGGATGGACATTATGACGTGATGTATTCAAAGCCCATGAATTTCTCCTCCTAGCCGTGCCTGCGACTGTCCACATCAAGGTTTGAATTTAGCTGAGCGATACTCTTAGAGTGGCTCAACAGGAACTGATACTGTGCAATCCAAGACACAGCACTGAAATGAAAGCATGAAAGAAGAAGGGAAAAAAAAAAAAAAAAAAAAAAAAAAAGGGCCGAGAGAATAGCCATGACATCCGAACTCCTTTGAAAGAGAAGAAAAAAAATCGACCAAGCTGGGGACATTATAAATCTACAGACACCAAAAGAGTATGATGATAGAAGAGTCACGATTATAACTCCAGGAATACTGCTTACGAACAATCGGTGCCACTTCGAATGCGTGACAAGTATTCTTGGGGACAAAGAGCTTCGCCACTCAATCTGTACTGAAATAATGTCACTCGCGGTCCGTCACCCAAGTATTGACTCGTTGCATGAGTGAACAGCCAAATACCTGAAAGCGTAACAGCATTGGGTAACAGACCTGTAAAATATGGCAATCTAATGGGTGTCATTAATCATCAACAAAAACTCCCGCTCTCAATCCACATCGAGGGCAAAGATTTGAACCAATATCCCAGAATGAGAACAGGAGCGAGAAGATGCGAGCTAGAAGGGTAGCAACTACAGTTGGTGCATTCCTTTAGGATGATGTCGGTATATGTGCAGGCAGAGATTCACGAATAAGAAACCGTGAGGGTGAACAGCACGCAAACTGGAGCGTGGCAAACGACAGTTGAAGACATAACGGGCAAGGAAAAGCTCGAAGGCGGTGTAGCAATGGTGTGAAGCGTTTTGGAACGAAGGCAATGCAATGCGTACGTCCCTCTAGCTTTAGGCTCCTGGACCCGAGACCTTCAAAGTCCTATAAAATTCAGAGTCATGAGGCGCAGACTCACAGAGAGGGCCAGAGGCTGGAACGGGCCAGTCTCATTTACGCTGCCAATGCCATGAAATTAATTCGCAGTGAATGTGGAACCTTGCTCATAACTGCACTGCAACTTCCAACCTTTCCCCTTGCACCCTACAAATTCATTCCGTCTTCTGTTTAGCTCGTGAGACTGACTGACATCTTCTAGCACCTCTTCCAAGGAGCTCCCAACATCCACCTGCATCATGGAATTCAGTTGCCACCTTGTGCTGAATCAACAGCTAGCTAATTCCTTCACCAGGGCAAAACTGTAGGCAAAAACCACAATCTGACAGTAAAATCCTTTTACACAAGAACTGAGAATTAAGAGATCAAAACATGGTTTGCAATCTCCTAACACATAGACTTAAACACATGTCAAACAAAGTCTTTCTCAAATGGGGTAGCAATCAAATCTCCCCATAATAGTACCCTACATACACATGCAAAAAAAACAGAGTAGAAAAAAAAAATAACACATATACATATATATATATATATATATTAAAAGGAAACCTACACAGAAAAAGAAGAAATGAAGGTACAAACACTACTACTGAGTCAAAAGTACTTTACTCTGTTAACCTCCCTGCCTCTTGTTCTCAACTGAACATCAACCCCAAGGGTGGCGCTGAAAAGCATGATGGGTGGAGGGCGATGGAACTGGTAATCAGGACATTGCACATGGGCAATGCGATCTGTTCACAGAGTGGCCATCACAAACAGAGCAAGGAAGGGAAAGAAATACAAAAGGGAGGTGGGGAGACAATGGTGGATTGGAAACACTACTCCATCACCTTCACTTATGAACTCCTACTCTCTGTCCCTCACTGTGCATTCACCTACACCATGCACTTCTGACAGCCACATACACCACACATTGTGCATATACATGCACTCATATACACTCACATAACCCCATACCCACCCACAAACAAACAAATACACCAGGTTCTGGTGGGTTTTCAATGCATAATCAGCCAAAAGTGGAGTTAATGCCTTTGAGCCTTGAGAGCACAGGACCTGGGCTTCTCAGATTCCTTGTACTATGCAAATCCTGCTGTGAGTCACAAATGGGATCCTTTGGTGGAGAGGGGAACAAGAACATTCAGGGGAAAAGCAATTGCAAAAGCAAGCTTATTGATGTTTGGAATTGAATGAGAAAACTTGTGGGGGAGGATATAAGGTAGCTGACCCATTTCCAATAACATAACCATTTTAGCATATCTGCAATGTGTGTATGAAAAATCAATAAATATAATATAAATAAATTAATCTTGTGTAGGGAAATAGAAATCGAGAGGATTTAAGGTGTTTTCACATCATTTTGCGCAAAAAAAGAACTATTATTAGTGTTTAAGTTCAAGATTCTATTCAACACAAATCCGACATATTGGCCAACCTAATTATGACTAGTGGTTGGTCACAAAACAGAGAATGCTTAACTCTTGCCAAATTTTCTAAGTTGGCATGAAATTCTTAATTTCTTACCCAATGGCACCATGCAGTTGAGACAAAATGTGAATTAGGTATTGTGAACCCATAAGGTGTCAAAACTGATTATTATTATCATATCAAGTTTATTGGAAATACACCATTTTATAGGTCAAAAATGGGGAGGAGTTTGAAAATGGGTTGGGTACCTTAAGCCTTCACAATGTGATGGATGGAGAAGAAGATTAGATAGATTATGTAGATAGTTGACCTTACTGTTGGAGGAGACATTTGATGGCAGTGGGTCAAGGAAATAGATGCAGGAACAAGAGGGGGTGATATAGAGTTTCTTCGTGGCAATATTATTTTTGTCAATAGTTTTTTCCTTTGTCCTTCATGCATTTTTTGTTTCTTTGTTTCTTACATTCTATGTTCCATTTCTCATTTTTTATTTTTTTGTGTAGTTGCTGTAGAATTGCTCTAAATGTAGCAACTCAAGAATCTGTTTGGGGAAACAAAATAGTATTTGTTCTTTTAGGCTGTCATTTATTCCACATCAAATATTATTTAGCAGTCCTAACACAAAGCTTTATGTAATATTAAGCTACACCTATATATATATATATATATATATATATATATATGTTGTTTCTTTTTCTTTTTCTCTTTCTTTTCAAAAATAACATTTTCCCATCGTCTAAACCTATCCATGCATAGAAAGGAAAGTAACCAAAATCAACTTCTTTTCATTTCTTTACTTCCTTCATTCATAATTTAATTTCTTTTCCTTTCTTTCCTTTTGGTGTACTGATTATTATCCTTTCTTCATCCAAGAAACAAGCTGCTTTTGAGTTGCATGACTAAAATAATGGGGTCAATGATTCAAATACCTTCATTCAATTTCATATATCACACAACAAGTGCAATTTTCAATCATTTTTCAAACATAAAAATGTGATTCATCATGTACATATATACATAAATACATACACACACATACATGCACATTCTCAAAGAAGCAAGTCCCCATTCATTTGAGGAAGTGAAGAAACCAACAAAAAGATGGAGCCAATGATATATTGGAAGCATTGAAGAAAGCATCTCTGTGCATTTGTCTTCAGCATCTGCTTCTCGAAAGCAAATGTTAATGGGAGGAGAGAGAGTACCAAGTACCATTCAAGGGCACACTTGGCAACTTAACCTGCATGCATCAAAATTTGATTCCATTATTATAAAATTTCATAAACCTGGTTGATCCTTTAACTCTGCAACATGTTTTCAACATTGTTTTGTACAGAGATGACACAAAGTCATTAATAAACATGACCACAAATTATTCAAAACATGAACCATAAACTTTCAAAGAAACGAACTTAATGTCCATTTTTAATCTGAAATTTCCAAACTCAGATTAGGTTTTTTTTGTTGTTATTATTATTATTATTATACATTTTTTTAACATGATATACAAGTGAAACATTTAATGTTGTACAAAACGTCATATATATATATATATATACATAGATATGCTTCAAATTTTAAATGTCACATCTTGTGTGAGTTCTTTTTTTCTTTTTTTCTTCTTCTAGAACCCATGATCACTTGTACATACAAATTCATATTGAGTAACATTAATATTAGAATTGATTAGGGACATATAATGTTCACAATGTTCCAATTTTATTATTTTTTGTATATATGTTGTTTGGTTCAAAGTATAATATTCAATCTTGTAGTAAAAATGGAGTGTTTTGTATATGTATGTAGATATATATATATATATATATATATATACACACACACATAGAAGGAAAAAAATGGGGAGATGGGAGTAGTAGTGTGAATGGGGGCTGAGACCTCGTGGAGGGGGAATCCATCCCCGCCCTTTAGTTTTAATTTTGCCAGCCATGTGCCCTTACGTCACAACACGGGGCGTAATGCCCTCCCAGTCAAACCTTTCACTGACCGGGGCGAGGACGAAAAGTCTTCTCTGCTGCCCGCCCTTCGTTTTTACTGCCCGCACGCTCCGCCCTCATTTACTGCGCAAGGTAAAACCCTCCTCATTTACTCCGGGTAGTTCCACCGTGTCCACTTGTGGTGTTACTTGCAAATTGGGTGTGTCCATTATTAAACTATTAAACTGTTCCCATAATATAAATAATCTTGTTAAAGAGTATGTGGCTTGAAAGGTTTTGATGGCCTTGTAATATTTTGAGAAGGATGGTTGTTCTCCAAGTCATCCATGTATTGGAGACTTTAGGAATCAATTTGAGAGCGGTTCTTTAGATGCTCTAGTCAAAAAATAGAATATATGCATACATTTTGTTTTTGTTTTTGTTTTTAATTGCACATTATTTGTGTTTAGGAGTTAGGATTTAGGAGGTAAGAGAAGAAGGGAGGAGCAAGATTTGATGTCCACTCTTTGCACTTGAATAGATGTCTAAGTTTATTCATTTGAAGAGAACTTTCAAGAAATTTTCCCTTCTCCTTTTCTTGCTTGTATATACTTAGGAAGATATATTTTTTGATTTTTTGATTTTTTATAATATCCTTTTTATATTATATGCAATTTACCTATTGTATAATCATAATTAATAATAATATAAGTTTTTAATGAAGCATACTATTCTTATATATTTTTATTATTATTATACTATTGTAAAGTTGCAAACAAAGTGTGTAATGTTAATTATTTTTATCAATTTTTGGATTGATATTGATTTGATACGAATTTAAGTTCTTATATGTAATTATTCATAATAGAGCAATAGTATATATTTTTTTTGAACATAGATTATGTTTAGAACATTTAAATATGAAAACTTACATATATGTATATATATATATATATATATATATATATCTCAAAATATAAATAAAAATTTGTCTGTTGATAAAAGTAGACATGTCTAAAAATAGCTAAGATAATCATAACCCTTTTTAGAATCTTTAATCTTTAAGTAAGCAAAAAATATTAATATATTAATATATATAAATATTAATAATTAGTTGTAAATTAATAATAAATTACTAATAAATTAATAATTAGTTGTATTAAAATCATAGTTTTATGCTTACTTATGACATTCAAATAAATACTGAAGATAATAAAAAAATTAAAAGTCTTAAAAGATCTTCAAACATCAATCCTAGTCATTTTTATTTTTATTTTAAAAAAGAATTTTAGTTCTCTAAAAAATATATTAAAAAAAAAGAAGCTTTATCTTACTTTAATGAAGAAATAAAAGAATAGATTGAAAGTTATTAGATAGTATGACTAATGTTAGGATTTATTTTTGGTAATTTTTAATATTTAAAAGCAAATAGAGAAGTTGGACTTACATTAAAGTCCCTTGATTTGTAATTAATAAAAAGTGAGGTTTATATAGAGATGTGACTCATTTGATATTATTATTTTAAAGATTGCTATTGGATGGCAAGATTATATAGCTCTATTATTATGATTCATGGATGTTGACTGTATTAGGTGTAATTAGAAAATTAAATGTTATAAAATAATTCTAAACTAAATTTGATTTTTAAAATTTAAAATTCCTGAAATTATCTATGATTATTTCATAATAGTGATGTTGAAAAAGACATATATTTTAGAAATTTTTTAATAGAATAATAAATAATTTATTTTTATTATTAATGATTAATAATTATATTTTAAAAAATAATATTATTAAAATTATACTATAATATTGTTAATTTTGTTCATAAAAATAAAATAGAATAGTAATTCTTTATAATTTTTTCACTAGCTTAATTAACACAAAAATAATCTTTTAAATTAATGTATATAACAATGTTAACTTGTCAATGCAAAATACTAAAGAAACCTAGGAATTTATCGCAAGTTAACAGTTAATATGAAATCTAACATGAAAGAATAAAATCCACAAAAATTTGAAGATGTGTGATGTTAATATGCAATAAATTCTACCAATAAACAAACAAAATTAACAAAAATAATATGCAATCTTAGATCTAATCTATAATGAGCAAATGTTTTTGGAAGTATATTTCTATCTTTATTGCTTCTAATGTAAAAAATCAAACATACAAACAAATTTTAAATATGTTTAACTTTCAAACTTAAAATGCTTTCTATAATCATTTGTGGAAGACTTTGATAAACATTCAGAATGTATTAGGATTTGGTACTTACATATCTAAAGTTGGCCAAGTTCTTTTAAAAGATGAATTTTGCTTCCACAAAAATGTTGTAACATGTCGAGATTAATGTAATGGCCCTCCAAGCCCTTAATTGGAAGCCTAAATCAGTGTATTTGTGAAACATTACTATAGTTTGGTAGTTTACAAAAAGAAATTAAAACTAAAAATGTTGTAGTTAACCCTAATGATTGTAATTCAATATATGATTAATTTTTATTTAATCAAGTTTTTAAATTAAATACTAAGAAATGAAGCCGAATTTGCCCAAATTCTTAATTGCAGCAAGGTTGGAACTGCTAGTCCACAACTAGTATGAAGATGATAAAAATTTAGCATATTCTCCTTTATTACCACCCAAGTGTAAAGTGCATGCCATAATTTAGTATAATTTTGGCTTATCAAGCTTTAACATGACCATCCATCTATCTAGTTGTGCAATAGAGTATAAAAGTTGGGAATAATAACCTTTGCATCTTCTATTGCACATTTGTTTCTACCTTTGTTTATAAAATATGCAAAAACATGAAAATTGACTCTATTAATTTTAGGCAGCCAAAACTTACTATTCCATGCAAATGAGAAAATTATTTGGCCAAACTCAATAACATTTGTTTCTACTTATTCTTGTTTGATTTTGTTTTTGTTTTTTTCCTTCTCCTCTTCCAATTACCCTTTATTTATTTTTTACTTTTTTTTTTTTTTTTTTTTTTTTTTTTTTTTTCATGTTTTGTACAAATAGTGTGCTTCTACATTGGAAATTAAATCAAATTTAAAAGTATACTAACTTTTTAATTAGATTTTGTATTGGTGCAAATTCGTATGATGTCTGAAACTACTGAAATAAAACGGTTGTTATCTTTCAAGGGATACTAGATCAAAGGGATGATCGTCATTGGAATTATACCCGTGTTTACTAACACCTTTAATTAAGACCCATCCATCCCCTTACAGAACTTGTAAACATATGTAAAAATCGGGCCAGATTTATTGAAATCTAACTTGTAAATGCACAGCTATTTAAAATGAATTAAACAGCGTTTAAAATGGTAGTATGTAAGCACGATCTATCACATGATCCATCTCATAGATTAGGCAACAGTAGTACAAACCAATCTCTAAGCAAATGTTGACACAAATTTAACAAACAAATACATCAAAGCATATTTTTATTGATAGCTTGTGAGTGAACAAAGTTTGTCATGGCACATGGTGACTTCTCAATTAACATCATCACTGCGAAAGCAAAAGAAGACTATGGAAAAGAAACTGAGGAAAAACAAGCAACTAGTCTTCGAAGACGAGGTCAAGTGCTATAAGCTTCGGGTACTAGATGTACTGCTTAGAAAAACGTATAAATATTACGAGAACAGGAGTTGAAAAAATCCAGAGTCTGCAAACACAATCGCATGGGTCTAAAGAGACATTGGCATTTAAAAATAAATGTTGAGCTTACGAAAACAAGGACTGAGCTTCAAAGAACTACACAAGCTTAAAAAGCAGCTAGAATAAAAGCGAAATAAATTGCAAGAAAGGCATCTACCAACGGTCTAGAGGACAAGACCATACGATCTTGAACCTAGCCGGACATCGACCCAAGTTAGACAAGAGGTTTGAAGGAGCCAAGTGGAGATGTATGTCCCATGATTCACCACAGTAAGATAATAACATTTTCCAGGAAGGGAGCAAAAAGCCTTGCAGGTGAAAAAGATTATGGAACTAGCAAGAGGCTCTAAATCTCTTGAGGCACTAAATATTAACTGTGTAAGGAGGTGTTGTCACTCTCTTCGGTACAGGACATTAACTTACATTCTTTCGATTTTCAATGACCATGTCTGTTTGGTATCAAAAGGAGGTTATAAATAACATTTGAAAAAAACAATTACCTCCCAGCAGTCATGTACAAACCATTCCTGTCCCCCCCCCCCACCGCGAACAGCACTAGATACCACCTCCACGCATGTGAGCGCCCAATTCACCAAACTGATCATCAGCCTCCTCTGTGTCAAATGAAAGCCGGACTGCATCCAACTTGGACTTCAAAATTTCTATAGCATTCAGAAACATCTGGGAAGCCTTGATAGCTCCTGTTGACTCCACGGTAAAAATAAAACTGTCCTCCTTGCTGTAAATTTCCACTAAACCTGGCTTACCCATGGCTTCTGCTTTCTTCAGCACTTCTTCGTCATAGGTGTATGCTTCAGGGTCCACCACCACCACCTGCAGCATGTTTATACGCAGCAACACGTGATTTAAAATGCCGCATATAGGGTCGATTACTTGCTCAGAAAATACTCTGAACGTCGAGACGAATCGAAATTTAAGGTTGTAAACTGCAATAAGATGAGTTAAATGAATATGCTACCTGTTGAGAAACAGGATCCAGCTCAAAAACTTTTGTAGGGCTGCTGTCAATCCACTCTTGCTTTTCTTCCAGAGTCAAAGTTTCCATTAGTGCCTCATTGATGTGAATTTCTGGTTCATACTGAAATGTCACAGTTGCAGCTGGTGACCACTTGGCATGGTCCTTGCCAATCCCTTTTCTAGCGATCGCCCGCAACTTCAATTCCTGCCCCTTTCGCAACTTCACAATCAAAATGCCCCTGCGATAGTAAAGCCGAACTAACATCAGCTACATCCTCTCCCACTATCGGACATAACCCAATAATAAAAACTAATTATACCAAGCTTACAAGTATCCTCCAATCTGCGCTTTGATGAGCGCACAACATGGTCATCGAAACACGGTGACAACAGGAAAGAAAAACCCACATCACATCAACCGGTACAGTCCAATGCTGGCACCATCGCGACGGCCATACGAGGACACTAATAATCGTATGGAGCCGCATGGGCATTGTACTAATTCTAACACCCATCGACAAACAATACCAAAGAAAGATCAATCGAAGGCTTAGCAATCCTAAAGGATTCAACACCATCTAACCTAAAATTGTCCTATTTAGAAACTCACCGCGTATCATTCGATTCAAAACCACCCATGTCTGCAGCACGCCCTGCAGCATCCACTGGGATAATTGAAGGATCCGAACTTACTAAATCTAGGCTGGTGACATCCAAGGTCTGATCTCCCGTGCATTTGACACTAAGGTGGAATTCAATAGAGCAGTATTCGCATCTGCAGCAAAAACCCAACTATAAGTCTTCCATCCCTCAATCTACATTAGAAACCCTACCATCTGTAAAACATTAATACAAAAATCAACATTCTCATTACTGCAAAATCACTACAAAACATTATAATGATATGCAAAAAAATATCACAGAACATGTACAACTTCGGTTACTACCGACAGAAAAATAATTAGGGTTTTTGGATTTGATTACAACAGCTGCATCCCACAGCAACACATAGTAGCTACGATGTTTTACATAATGGGACAAAGGTACACACTTTCTCCAAAATCCAAGTAAAAAGTACCCTTCGATAAAAAAAAAAAAAACGAACCAATGTCTTCGATAAATTTTCAATGCCCCTAAAACCCAAAAATCAAATCAATGCAAGCAGACAAATTATGGGAACCAAACTGAAAAGTGAGACAGAGGAAAGAGCAATACCTTCCATCACCGTCACAGGCATCACAATCACGAGACAGCCGCATTTCCATGGCTCGATCGCTAACAATCGGAATTAGACCAAGGCGGTGCGCGAGAAACTCATCGTTCAGCACCGACGAATTAGACTCAATTTCCACCAAGTCGATGGCCAACGTGGGCACCTCGGCAATCATAATCCGCCGAAGGGCATTGGCGATGCTGGCGTCCGTATCCCGCAGCTCAAACTTCAACACGTCGTCTTTTATGTCACGTATGCGCACGGTGGGGAACCGCTGGTAGGACACATTATCCATGATTTCCACCACCACCAATTCCTCCTTTCCCCGCCCCCCCCCCCCCTCTCCTTGCGCTCAACCCACTCCAAGCTCAACACGCGATCGGGCCTTTGTGGTACTATCTCTCTCTCTCTCTCTCTCTCTCTCTCTCAACCCAGGACAAGACGCTCAGATTTCTCGCTACGCCCCTGCTTGCGATTTTTCTCGTGTAGGGTGCGTCGCACTTCAAGCGCGGCCTCGGGGGCGTAAGTGAAACTCCCTCGCAGTGCTGCAGCGCAATGAAGGGGATCGTGTGTGCCGACGACCATGGATGTCGACGAACAAACGTGAGGACGGACGGACGAACTGCGTACTGCGAATCGGTGTCGGACGAAAACCTGGACCCCTGGATTAGGGTTAGTTCGTTACGCGGTGTTCTGGTCGAATTTCTGTTCTACTGAAGGAGTTGGTCTCATCACATTAAATGTCAAGGATAATTATCAATGTCTGGCTTTTTCAATAATAATAATAATGGTAATAATCAGTTAAGAGCGATAGTGGTATTGATGAAAACTGATAGTTTGAAGGTTAGATTTTAAAATGAAAAAGAAAAAAGAAAGAAAAAAAGAGGTTAGAGCTTGTACAAATTAGACGTAATGAATTCGATTTAAGAAGATAAACCCCTTGAAGAACATGTTGTGGAAACAAATAGGAAAACCAAGTATGTGAATGTGTATGTTATGTTTTGAGATGGTCATGATGTGGACTTGAAGTTAATTTAGAATTCCTCGCATATTTAAGATTGTTCCTTATTTTATTTCAAATATTTATTTGAAAAATCAACCAAATTGCTTGCATAATTCATTGCAAGGCAATCCATTACAATCCAAAATAAATAAAAAATGCAAAACTTATTGCATATAAAATTAATATCATACAAACTTACACATTTACTTGCATTAATGTAACTAATTGCTAACAAAGTAACATGATTAAAATGAAAAACTGAATATAAAAATATGGCATTTACAAAATAAAAATCTTAATACATACACAAACATATTACAACATAAACCAAAATATAATCACCACGTTTTCGTTCATCCAATCAACAATTGCAATCACTGCACGAGAGAAACAAACATGAAAGAATGTATTATAAATAATCCAATGTGACTGTAAAGAAGCACATGTACTAATGCACGGGGATGGGGGGGAGAAGTGGGGAGGAAGTTCCTCCCGCCGTCGCGAGAATGACGTGGCGGTAACGTCAACGGCGAGGAGGGAGGAGGGTGAGGGGAGGGGGAGGAGGTGGTGTTCCATGCACCATTGCTCACACCATTCTCCTTCGTTAGGGTTCCCTCTTTCCTGTTCTCGCTCTTCCTTCCTTTCCTTCGTTGCTGTCCTTCGCCTCCATTTCCAGTTGCCTCATCAAGCAGTGACACACCAGACCACCGAACGGACTCTGTACAGGAGGAAAGCATTACCGCATAAGTAGGATTTGCTGTGCCGGTTGTTGAAGGTCCCGTTTAGTTGTGCACGAATGGCAGACGACGAAGGGTACGAGTATGGCCACTCGCCTCCGCCTCGGTCTGACAATGGAGATCATGTCTCCACGGAGCGGAACAGTGGCAGGAAACGCGAGGTACTGTACTGATGCGTGATTTAGCTCCTGGTTGCAAGTCTAGGTGGTATCCCAAGGGCATTTGACTAAAAGAAAATTGGCCGCATTTGAGTGGGAGGTGGTGTGGAGATGTGGTGGTGCGTGGGGGGAGTCGAAACCTTTGTGTTGATGGATTTGTAGTCGTGGTCATACGGAATTGTTTTTTCGGTGTCATTTGAGGCCACTTGCGTTGCTTTTTTCACTTGGCTGCCTTGGAATTGACGTCGGTGTCGATTTTGTCCGCGGGTTTCCCAAATCATTTGCGTTTTGTTGATGTTGTTGTCAGTTGTTTGTTTGTTTGTTTGTTTTTGTTTTTCTCCTCCTTTTCCCTCCTCCTTCTTCTCCCTGTGTTACTCTCACAAGTCCGGTGTTAGTGCGTTGTATACTTGCTTCAACGTCGATCAGCACAGTGTGTTTCTGTTTGAAGACCATCTATTACCATTGCAGCACGAAACCGAAGATTAGGTTTACCTTGGCCATTTGTTTACATTCCTTAATGTTCCTAAGGCGAATGGTGCCCCGGCGTGGAGTCTCTCGAGAGGCGCGTCTAGTTATTGACTTAGTGACCCGATACAGCGTGCTGTGTGTTACGCGATGAAAAGCTACGTGCTGTGCTGAATTCATGTTGCACAATATGTAGTGTCCTACACGTGCATTTTGAAATGCATCTTTAAGGTGATAGTACCTACCCGCTAAGTGATGCTACCATTTGAAGGTACAACGTCACTCTATTCAAGTTGGAATTACCTTGTTTATTTGTTCGATTCTGCATTTTGATGAACACGTTTGTTGCTTTTGGTGTGTCCTCTATGTGCGTAGTTTTGGAAGATTTCCGGTTAAAGAGCACTGATGTTGAGAAAAGGGTTGACGGAGAGGATCTCACATCCTCCACATCAACGACTATTTCAATGATCACCATGTAGATGGCTTTAACTCCTCAAATGCTTAAATGTGACGGTGAATCTGCTGTAAAATCTCCTGATATTATGGATTGTACTCTAACAGCATTTGAGGCTGGCGCAGAGTGCTGGTGAGCACTGTCGGTCGTGCTCTGTTGAAACCTTTCAGTTTTGAAGGAATTGCCACTTGGTGTTTACGTTTTCATATTTCAATATGAAGTATTCATTGTGGGACAGAGCTGCGGTATCTATCCCCACACAGAATAGTTATGCTTCTGATGTGGTGTGTTCGCGTTGCAATGGTCCAGTTGCACCGCGTAGTTGCACGAATACATGTATTGATCGTCGATCATCATGGTGTGTGATTATCTGGAAAACTTCCTTTGACACTTTGTTTTGAGTATGTGCTTGTGTTGCAGCGTGCCTCTCGAGAATCTGACAGAGACCGAGAGAGGAGTCGAGACAGAGATCGGGACAGGGGCAAAGACCGTCGACACAGAGATGTGGACGTGGATCGCGAAAGAGATAGAGACAGGGACAGGGAAAGGGAAAGGGATCGAGATCGGCATCGTAGCCATGATCGAGATAGGTGAGCCTTACAGTAATTGTTTTTAAGATAATGCCTATATTCTCTTGTAGGGCATTACAGCTTGTTTCTTTAAAGATATAGATATTCTTGTCTGAATTCATTGCATGTCATCCATACCTGGCCCCTCCTCGGGGCATAAGGGACTCGTCTACAGGTGCATTGTTTCCGTTCATGATCATTATGTAATATATCTGACTTCAAATTCTGACTTCACATGCAGACGTAGTCGTGAGTATGATCGGGACAGAAGACACCGGCATCGTTCTCGATCCATTTCTCGTGGACGATCGCATGGCGTATCTAGATCCAGATCTCGTTCAAGATCTCCGTCTCGTTCAAGAAGGTTTGCCACTAACCTTCACTTGAGTTGCTTACTTGTAAGGTTTGTAAGATTTTAAGTTCCGGTGGCTTCGGGCATGAATATGTTGTGGTCTTTGAGGCTATTTTTTTGCGATGACGAGTGGTCTAAACGACTAGCTAGTAATGTTTTTGGCCACATGGATTGAAGTTCTATGGATGGCAATCAAAATCATACTGGAAGTAGTGTAGAGTCGAGTCGAGTTGAGTTCAGATTTGTTTTGGATTGGTTCGGGTTTTTTTGGTTTTGGTTTTGGTTTAGGTTTAGATTTGGTTTGATCCGTTTTTATGTTTTATTATCCCCCCTTTTGCATGTTGTAAACAAGGTGGATGTAATGTGCCAGCGCGATTGAGTTATATAGTACTGACTTAGAGTTTGGCTTCTTCTTGTAGGAAACAAAGTGGATTTGACATGGCTCCGCCAGGTGCAGCCGTTATTGCAGGAGCTGCAGTACCAGGTTTGTATGTCTTAATCACGAGGTGATTTGTTTTTGTAACATACGCAAAATTTAATATATATATATATATATATATATATATATACATACATGTATATATACACATTTATTTTGGTTTGTACGTGAATCTCGAATGTTACACACTTCTATAATTGTATCATGCAATGAATTTTCGTATCATCAATGTAATTGAACTCAAAAATGAAACTGTTGCATTTATTTAGCTTTCTTGGTTGCTATTAATTTCCTAACGTTCTTTTCCTCTTTATTAAAGTTGGTGAGCATTGTCGGAACGAATCTCGATTTGGAACTGAGGAAGTCTGTGCTCTGGTGTTTTCTTGTTGTTTCCTTGTTGTTTGTTTGTCTGTGGTTGTCTTTGTATTCGTCGTGGTTGCGAAAGGCATCAATCGAGCCCTGTGTCCTCTCCACGATGCTCATAGAGTGCCTGCTAAGGTGTGATTTATCGACAAAGAAGTGATGGATTACCTTGGTGTTGGTTAATATTTGCTACCTCAGTGCCTCTGAGCAAATGCCTTTGGTGGTAATCGATCTATGAAGTTTAATATGAAATCGCAATTACGGTATTTAGTACTTGTCATATGAGTACCTTCAAATCACTTTTGAAAATAGTTTGGACGCAATCAGATGTCACACCGTCCATAATTTCCTTACGTGGTGGGTTTCTAGGTTTTTATTTTAACAAAACAGGAGTTGAATGAATGTTCTCGGTCATAGTGTATATTTTTATAGGTTGTATTTGAATAATCTTAACAGAGATGGATGTAATCATTAAGTCTAGATCATGTTTACACTTTCATACTATCCCGGCTAATAGATGTGGTTGTAGTGCTTTCCATTATTTTCGTTTTTAAGGGTAGAATAAATAGTAAAAGGATGTTTGAGGGCATCCTTGTCTGTAGTCTCATGAAGTTTCTTTCGTGGTTTTTAGGTCAACTGCCTGGAATGGCACAGCCTATGCCTGGAGTATTCCCAGGGATGTTTCCTTTCGGAGGAACGCAGGTATTTAGATATAACTTATCTTTTATAGACTTTCCAAATTTTCGAAAAGAGGAAGGTGGTTAGATGAATGTCAGGTTGAGGTCCATAATGTTTTTTGTAACCAAAATAGCTTGGTGGTCAAGCAGTTTGGAGGTATTCCTGGAATGCCAGCTCAAGCAATGACTCAACAGGTGATTGTGCTTCCTAATGATTGACTTTTACATGCCAAGCTGTATCAGACGTAATGACCTCGAGATTATGTCCTTTGTTTCCTTCTTAGGTTTGATGCTTAGAGAAAGCTGTTTAGGATACAAGGATTGTGGTATGGTTGATTCAAGTGTACGTGCATCTGATATTTTTCGGACATATCGTTTAGGCTACGAGGCATGCCCGGCGAGTGTATGTTGGGGGTCTTCCACCCATGGCGAATGAACAAGTGCGTAAAACTCTCCTGGAGGATGCATGGACGACCTCAATTCTTGTTGAATACGACATGGCATTTTCTATGCGTTTGGACTTTGTTGTAGATGTAATTTGTTATCAATTTTGCTGAGTTATTTTGTGGTTTTAATTGACAGTTGTGTGGTTTTCAACAGCTAATGGTAGTGGTGTCGTGTGGTGCAGACAATAGCGACCTATTTTAGTCAGGTGATGGCCGCTGTTGGAGGCAATACTGCTGGTCCAGGTAGATGGCTACTGCAGTTCAGAAATGTTGTCTTGATTCTTTTTCGTGTTTCTTAATTGGGTGTGACGCTGATTTTCGATTAGAATCTAGTTCAAATAGTGCTCCAGATTTTATCAGGTAGTTCTTGTATTTTTGTGTACTAATGTGATGTATCCTGTTTATCATGGTTTGGCCTAGGTGATGCTGTTGTGAACGTATATATCAACCAAGAAAAGAAGTTCGCATTTGTTGAGATGCGAACTGTTGAAGAAGCCAGCAATGCCATGGCCTTAGATGGCATCATGTTTGAGGTTTGTGTCTGCTGTAAATTGTATTATGTGGTCACTTTGATGTTGATTATACAGTTGCTGTGTTGGTAATTTTCTCCTTGTTCTTGCTTTGTAAAATCCGTGTGTATTTCTTTAGTTCTGTTTCGTTGGAGTAGTTACCGTTAAGCTTATTGTCTTTTTTGAAATTTCTTGATATAATTTTCTGGTCTGTATTTGCAGGGTGTATCTGTTCGAGTTAGGAGGCCAAGTGATTACAATCCATCTATGGCTGCTACTCTTGGACCAAGTCAACCTAGTCCTCATCTTAATTTGGCTGCTGTTGGGCTGACTCCTGGGTAAGCAGTTCAATTTATACTCCTGTATTTTTCAGTCAGTTCTGTGTCTTTATCCCTCTTATATATTGAAACAATTACCTAGAGTTTGTCTGACAATTGTTGGCCCTGAGTAACACAAATTAGAAACATGAACTTGTTTCTGGTGTCCATGGTATTTGACAAGTACTGTGGGCGTCTGCAGGAGTGCTGCTGGAGGTGCAGATGGACCTGATCGTATCTTTGTGGGAGGTTTGCCCTACTATTTGACTGAGATTCAAATTAAGGAGCTGCTTGAATCATTTGGGTAAGAACCAATCTCTTTGTAAAATGCGAATTTTTTATAAGATTTACGTTGATTCGGAATGTTTGTAGGGTTAGGAACGAAGTAAATTCTATTACTGAACTTGATCTGACCCTTTTTTTTTTTTTTTTTTTTTTTTTTTTTTTTTTTTTTTCTGAACCTTAGGCCTTTGCGAGGTTTTGATCTTGTCAAAGACCGGGACACTGGGAACTCTAAAGGATATGGTTTCTGTGTTTATCAGGTATTAATGCTTCGGACACATGTAGCCAACAAACTACGTACTGACATGTGTTGTACTGTAGTACACATGTGTTGAGGAACATGCTTGCCTGTCTACGTGTTGTTCTTGACCAGAGATGTGTTTGTTATTTTGGAAGTATATGGATTTAGAGGTTTGAGGTTTCTGCATATCCACATGGTTTCTTCTGATTTTGGTTGAGCTTTGATTTGAGACAAATTGTTTATATCACAGGATCCAGCTGTTACAGACGTTGCTATAGCTGCACTTAATGGATTGAAAATGGGTGACAAGACTTTAAGCGTGCGTCGTGCTTCTGCTAGGTGCGGAGTTAATTGAAATTCTCACCCTGTCTGTCTGGCTGTGTGTCTCGCTCCCTCTCTTTTTACAGGACCTGTCAGTTTTGAATATTGCCTGTGGAAAAAATAGTGGCATGAGAATCGATGATTTGTAATTTTTCATTTGCGTTTGTAAAAATTTTCCTGGCTTTTTGTTTTAATCTGACCATCTTGAGATGGAAGAAAATACAGCACTCGACATCTCGGAATTCATTTCTGGGTTTTATTGTGTTTCAGTGGACAACCAAAGCCGGATCAAGCCAATGTGCTAGCTCATGCGCAGCAGCAAATCGCTATACAGGTATTCTGTGCTTTATGTCTAATACATCTGTGTACTTCGGGTGCTGCATAACAAAACGTTAATTTTTTCAAAAAATATACATAATTATTTTTCAAGTGATTTCCGACTGTAACTTGCAGAAACTTGCATTACAAGCTAGTGGCGCCAATGCTGTTGCATTGGGTGGCATGGGTTTCCCTGGGCTCCCAATGATGCCTGGAATGATGCCTGGCATGGGAGGGATGTCTCCACTTGAAACTTCCACTAAAGTGGTCGCCTTGACTCAGGTGAGCTTCCTGTCGAAGTTATGTTACGAGTGGCTGTTTCTCAAAGAAATGAACTTAATGTCGATACTGTTCAAGTTTCTTCAGTTTGATATCGTGACTATTCAGGTTTTGTTCTGTTTCTATTCATGACTTGACTGATAAATGGGCATTTTCAATTTATGAGCAGGTCGTATCACCAGATGAATTAAAGGATGACGAAGAGTATCAAGATATTTTGGAGGATATGAAGGAAGAATGTGGGAAGTACGGTATGTATTCAATGCAAGTCATAGCCTCGCTGTTATAGTTGATGTGATGTTATTTTCTATGACATGATTGTTCCTCGATCTGATTTGAGCTTTTCACATCCCAGGTAACCTTCTTAGAGTCGTCATTCCCAGACCAAGAGATGGCGAAGATGTTCCTGGTGTCGGCAAGGTCTGTATTATTTCTTTCCTCCGGCCTTATTGAGATTCGCTTTTTTGATAGTGTTTTTTTGATAGCTTCCCCAGCAACCTTTTTGCTACGCATCTGTTACTGCTTCCTTTTGGTTGTTACTCGAGTGTGATTCATGGTGGCAATTGTTTGAGGTGTTTGTTGCACGTTGCAGGTCTTTGTTGAGTACTCAGATACTGCAGGTGCTGCGAAAGCAAAAGCATCGCTTCATGGTCGTAGGTTTGGTGGACACTCTGTTGTTGCTGTCTACTATCCCGAGGAAAAATTTGCTGCAGGGGATTATGGAGGTTAGAAGAGGGCAGTGACGAGGCCCTTGTCCATTTTAAGTCGGGACCTACTGTTCAGAACGCGTATACTGTATTTGCAGTCTTCAAGGAGTAATAAGCTTGTAAGAGACCTTTTTTACTAAGGGTTCCGTTTTACGAAGCTATGACTTTCGTACAATGTAGGTCAGGTAGTGCAGTGTTCTCCAGGCTTCTTTTTGACCCAGTCTGTTTGTTATTCTTTTTGCAGTGTGGAGATCACCTATGTGCCACTAAGGGCTCGTCACTGTATTGGTTAGACGTGTTGGAAATTACTAGCTTTCAAAATCCAATAATTTGAATAGGTCTTTTTGGGAACTTGGTCTTGATGGTGAATAAAAAGGAAAAGCGAGTACTTATTGTCCTGGGAATATGTACGAGAAATTGGACCTTATTGCAACGTTTCTGTAAAGCGTATGAATTGTTCATTTCCCTTCGAGGATGGCGGCTCATGCTGCACCAGCCACGCAGATATGCCACTACTCTAAAACCATGCAAAGAGTGTTGAGTTCTCGTGTATATTCTAGTTATTGATACAATTTTGAAAATCTTTCGATGTATGCATACGTATTTACTTACACTCAGAGAGATTGAAAGAAACTAATGTATAAATTGAAAATAGAATGAAGTAATTTCAACTCTACAGTCTTTATTAACATTATTTGCTTGCAAGGCTGACATCACATGAAGAGATCAACAGAACCTCTCTTTGGGGATAAATCTAAATCAAATTTTGTCCAACTTTTGACACATCTACAATCTTTTGGTTTCACATTCATATTGACAACGTGTTTTCAACTCATGTAATGAGAAATCATCAAGAAAAAAAAAACTTTTACTCTTGACAACAATTAAATTTTTATCAATAAACATGTCACATCAACAGACACATGGTGTAAATGTATTTATAAGATCAAAACCAAATGATGTCTTATTTAATTAATTAGAATATCAGCCAGGCTGCATATAACTAGGAGTATTTGTATCTTCATTTCAATTGAAAATTCAACCATAGCATCATGTACTTCTATTTCTAAATGTTTTCAACTGTGTCTTTATTGTGGGCCATGCTCAAAGGTGGAGGAATTGTTTATGAACCCTTCTCTAGTTATACTCTTAATTCTTAAAATGTTGCAAAATATTCTTTTAAGCCTTCAATTTAATCTTTCTAAAACACACATTTTTAGCTTCTAATGCTCAAGGTTGGAAATTGTATTAAATCTCTTGTAATCTTTACTAGCCTTAAAGACTATTAAGTTCTAAAAGATATATTTTGACAAAATAAGACCAATTGTGAAGATTAAGATTGCAATTGATAATACATTTTGGTACTAGCTACTATTAGAAGATTTATTGAAAAAGATTGTGTTAGAACATGACTTGTTACATATTAATAAGACACATATTAGTAAGGTTGTCTTAATTGCATTTTACATTTCTTCTTTAATTAGATTATTTAAAATATTAATAATATATAAATTTATTACAAAAATAAATAAATTATGCATAATTAAATTTTTATGATAATATTTGTAATGATTTTTCACTAATCTTTGTTGTTGTTCTAATCTTTTTTACTTCATCTATTTCCTTTTAATTTCTTGGTTCTTTGTCCATGCATCTTTGCTATTTAATTATTATTATCTTCATACAACCAACCACAAATAAATGTGATTTTAGAGGTTGTATTTCGTTTGGATTTTTAAAAATGTTTTTTGTAGTTTCTTTTTGTTTTGTTTATTTTCTTTTATTTGTAAATATTTTATTTAATCATATATATATATATATATATATATATATATAAAAAAATAATTATTAACACTACATTTCCAATTGATATTGCTACATCCCACATGACCTCCACACAACTGAAATTGACTTAAAAGCATGCTTCTATGCTTAATGCGCATTTGGCAACATAATATTTAATCCAATTATTGACTCAAAAATAGAATAAATTAAAAAAATAAAATTGTGCATTTTGTAGCCATTTTTTTTTTAAATAAAAATATATTCTTTAAAATTTAAAATTTTTTGAGACAATCATTCTACTTTTTTAAAAAATAGCTTGCAACATGTCTTTTATGAAATATTCACTATCTCCCTCTCAACTACCATCTTTTCTTAGAACAAAAAAAGGGAAAATTATGTGCAAAAGAAAGAAGCATATTATTAGCCAATTGTCTACAAGGAAATCATGTAGGGTATAGTAATATCAATTGGGGATGTAGTGTTAACAATTCTCTCTATATATATAACATTGAGTATTGTTAAATTTGTAAATAAGGTTATTTTCCAAAATCCACCATAAAAGCTAGAAGCTTTTAGATATATATATATATATATATATATATATATATAAAACTAATTTATTTTTTTAAAAAAAAATATACTTAAGAATACAAATATTTGTAAAGTAATATATATATATATATATATATATATATATATATATATATATATATATATATCATATTACTTTACATGTTGTGCTTAAAGTTTTAAATCTTGAAATATTTAAATTTTAAAATATAAATATTCTTTTTAATATTTCTAACAATTATATATATATATAATTTTATTTTTTTTCAAAAATTTAATTTGACAATCGAAATTTTTTAAAAATTAAAAAAAAATGATATTAAAATTTATTGATATGTCTTCATGATGTGTAGAATTTTTATTTAAATATTTATTATATTCAGTTTATGTACTACTAAAAAGTTTCTATTAATTCATTTATTCTATTATAAAATTTTAAATTAATAAAAATATATAAAAATACATATAATTTTATATAATAAAATAAATTACACAAAGATGTATAATATTTAAATACTTATGCATTTCAAATTATCTTGTACATCTTTATGCATTTTTTTTTTTTTTAAAATTGTAATATTTTTTATATATGATGAATGCAATATGTAAATACAAGTAAACAATAATTTTATATTTTTTTTTATAATTTTTTAGTAAAAATAAAAATTTAATTCACTACAATGTAATTTCTTGACAATAAATATCAAGTATTGTTAATGCTACATCTTCAATTGATATTGCTATACTCCACATGACCTCCTTGTAGATAACTAGTTAATAATATTTTTCTTACTTTTGTGCATTTTTTCTTTTTTTTGCTTTAAGATAAGACGGTGGTTGAGAGGGAGATAATGAATATTTTATTTAAAATAAAAACTCACAAGTTTATTTATTTATTTATTTTTGTTGCCACAAATACAAACAAATTATCATTTCATTTATTTAATTTTTGGGTCAATATTGGAATTAAATATTGGATTGCCAAATATGCACTAAACATAGAAGTGCACTTTTTAGTCAATTTAAGTTGTGTGGAGGTCACTTGAGGTGTAGTGATATCAATTAAAGATGTAGAGTTAACAATTCTCTAAATATATATACTTAGTCAAATGATGTCTAAAATAATGCCTATATTTTATTTATTTATTAATTTCATTACAAGTTAATTGGTTTGGATTTAAGTTCATATTAAATAAAGAAGTGATTAGACATGCAAAATAGTTTAACTCAATATATATATATATATATATATATATATTTCTTCTTGTTAAGGCATACTCTTGTGTGTGTGAAGTGCATACATTGTGTCTTGATTAAGATTCTATATAAGTATGTTTTTATATATTACAAATGGTTAGGACTTTTAAGAATATTTCGTTTTGTTGAATTGATACGAACTCATTATTAGAAGATTTAGAGATGAGAATTCGCTATCTGATAGAAGTTGTCACAAATACAGATAGGGGAGAAAGAGAATATTTCAAAAGAAACAACTGTCTTCAAGGAACAGTTCGTTTCAGTTCAACAAAAGCAATCCTTGATAACAGATGAGAAGTGTACATCCACAACAAAAAGAATGTAAACTATCCGACACAGGGCATAAACACAAATTTTAAAAGGCAACATCAAAGTTTCTAAAGGAAACTATACTGGTTTCACTGCAACGAAAAATCAGCATGTGCATCCAACTGTAAGATTAAGCAAAGCATGTACATTGACAAATAACAAAAATTCTGTGTATCTGTGTGTATATATATATATATATATATACATATGGGTGTGTAGTCATTGGTGTATGACTAGCACGATTGTTCGTCGGCGATGAGCCTGAACAATGGTGGTTTTCTCTCGACCCACACAGATAATGTAAATATATGTGTGTGTGTATATATATATATATATATATATATTTTCAACATGTGTATGGTACAATAGGTAAGATCTATGCATCCACCTGCCGTGTCTCCTCCGCATATCGTACAATCCACCACTCTTCTCTGAAGCCTGCACACTTGAATCATCGGACAAAACCCGACTGCTCATCGGAGCTATATCTTGAGTTGTTGATCCCGTGATCTTGTGGACGAAGCCTCCAGCTCCTTGCCAACCATCGATCAAGAGAGAAAAGAAAAAAAGAAAACTAAAATTCTAAGCATATCGACTTGTCGAATTTGTGGTTGAGTAGGCTGGGGAGACATGCTGACTGGATGAGCTCCTGCGGGCCGCACAGCAAAGCCAGTGACGCCTCGCAGCCTTCGGGAATGTGCTCCTTGATCATGGCTTCACAGATGCGGCCTTTGCTGAAGGCCCAGTCCTCGGGAGCGGCTCCAGTGAGCGTGAAGTGGACCTTGAGATTTTCGTGTTGCTGTTGCCATGTGTCCAGCTCTTTCCTCAACATGATGTCTCCCTCATTGCGGTTGGAGTACAAAAGACATATCTGAGTTTGGTCTTCGGGGTCGCTTACGATAGCCCGGATCACTTGGTACATGGGCGTGATTCCCGTGCCGCCTGCCAGCATGGAAACTTTCTTAACGAATTTGGACTTCCCGTTTATAAGGAAATGTCCTTTACCCTCGTATACGATGTGCCCCACTGGACCCTTCACGTCAATGGTGTCCCCAATTCTTAATGAATCCAAATACTGAGAGAAGAGTCCTCCCATCGGGAACTTCGAGTGGGCGTTCTTGTAGTACACTTTAATTACCAGTTCAAAGTAGCCCACATCATCGTCGTTGCTGATAGGAGTATAAGCCCTCATACAAAACTTCCCGTTGATGGTTGCGCTCAGGAGAATATGCTTTCCTACTGGCAGTCCCAGGACGTGATTCTCACTTTGAAGTGCGAATCTCAACCTGCCGCAAGAAAACAAAGGGCATATGTTAGCACCGTTCTGAAGATTCAAGAAAATGTTACAGAATCCATGAATGAAGAATTATGCTCTGAGGGCATTGAATGGGCTGCACACGTTATAGTGCAAAAAAATCCATGCTGCTCATTTACAAAGAAATACGAGGGGCACGACAAAGGTTACCTTCGGACGTCGTGACTCAAGGTTTCCTTCTCGATCAAGCGGAAGGGTAGCCGTTCCCTGGGATTCAGAGCCACTGGCCTACCAGATGAAGACACAAGTTTCGCAATGTCCTCCTTCTCGTCTTTGACTAGCTCTACTTCCAGGTCGTCTTTCGAGGCCACCAGGTCGCCGATGTAATACTCTTCTAACATGGCCTGAGCTTTGGCAGAGTGAATGGCATCAAATTCCTCTGTTGAGTCCGTGCCCCCGTTGATCAAAATACTATCAGCCCCGCCGGGATGATCATCCAAGAACGGCGTGCAATCGTATACTTTGTTGCGGACGATGATCCAGCAAGAGTCTGCTTTCTGGTGTTTACGCACTTCCGACAACTTTATTTGACGGGCAGGGGCTGCAACCTTCGTTTCAATAATCTTAATCAACGGCTCCGCTGGTTTCTGCGCTTCCGATTTCACCATCCAGCCCCCAGTCTGGTTACCTGGCTGAGTCGGGTGATCGAACGTCAGATGAATGCCGTTGTCTTCGGACTTGGTAATGCCGATCTTCACCCGGAACCAGCAGTTGTTCATCATTCCCTGTAGCACACCACGGCGAGGACATTCAGAACAGCGATTATTGTAATGAAGAATCCGCTTGGGGGATGTGGAATGATCAACTGGGGATGCATGCGAAACAGGCAGCGATTTTCGAGGTCAACGTCATTCGGGCGGATGCACCTCAAAAGTTCACAATGACCGAGTAACTTATGTACCGGATCACTGACCAGGATTCTTGTACTTTACGAAATATAAGCGGATTTCTTACCATTACGTTCCAAATGAGGTGCTGAGGCTGTGTGTTCATGGCTGCATCCCAAGCGCGTACCACGATCTCCTTGCACTTCAGGAGATCCAAGACGTCCACGTTTATCTGCCAGAAGCACCAACACCAGTACTTCCCATATCTAGTAGGCTCTTCCGGATGCTTCAAATCACACAGAATCCACGACTTCCCATCGTTAAGCGAGACCTCGACTCTCGTCACTTTCCGGCCGCCACCTGTCCATCACACACAATGCCTGACACGGTGAGGTAAAGCTCAGGAAATTACTAATTCAATCATACGGCAAACACCACAACGGCTGACGACCCGAATCTCGAAGTTCGGAAGCCTGAGGGATCGCTTCTCTTGAACCTGTGAAGATATGAAGCCAACGCCATGACCACATGTCCATCTTTGACTCTAATGACGGGATTAAAAACACTGAGAAGGAGATTCAATTACCGCTATAGGCATATCCTTTCACTATGTAAGACTCCTGAAGCGTTGAGAAATTCACTGGAAGCGCCTCCCCATGCGCAGGCGAGGTGATGGCAGAGTTGATGTTCAACTGGTTTATGATGTAGTCCGGCCTGTACCACCAACCTGTCCATAAAATAACAAACAGGCAGCTCCATGAGCTATCGTATTGGTAGGTGAGGGGACTGACAAAACAAAGGAACGTGCAGACTGTTAGGAATCTCCAATGCCCTAAAGCTGATGTGCAAGACGTCCACGTACCTTCAGCTTTGGCAGTCTCGGCATCAACGTGGGAGGGCAGCACTCGGTTATCGTGGAAATGGTAGTAGTTTCCTGACTCTTGCGTAGTCACCTCGATCTTGTTCAGCCATTTCACCATGCGGCCACCAATGTAGCCTGGGATGATCAACCGGATGGGGAAACCGTGGTCGGGTTCCAAACACTGCCCATTCTGCTGGTAAGCGAGCAGCACATCTTGGGCTTTGTCCATTGCGGTGTCAATGGTGATGCTCGTGCCGTACGTTGAGCCCCCACCACCTGACCATAAGCGCATTCCAGAAGTTTCTTAGACACCACTCGTGCCCTCGTATTTACCAGTTCACGTAGAATTATGGCATACCGTCTTCTCTAACAAAGACGACGCCTGTACGTGCTGCTGCGCTATCTAGAAGCTGTCCAATGCCCGATTCAGAGCTCAACCTAAAGCAGCTCCCCAGGACCAGTCAGACCCAACACATGAATGCCTTACAGCCAATCAAGGGAAGTCGGAGCTTTGAAGTACCTGGCAGGATTTCGGCACCCTCGAAACAGACGTACAAAGCGCCCTTCTTCCTCGAGACCACCCCGCAATGGCGTAAGATGTCGCACAGACGTACTCCGCGCCAAATAGAAGTGCTGACTGCAGCAGCGCCCCAGTTGAATCCGATGGATTGTTTCACGATGTTTTCCTCCTTCCTGCGGTTGCCGGCGCACACCAGCGTCACCGGCAGTTCACGGGCCGGAAAACGCAGAATGTCGTTCATCGTGAACGTCGTAGGACGCTTCACCAATCCCGAGATTTCAATTTTCCAATCGTCCCATGACGCACGAGGAACTGCTCCGTGGTTTCGAACATAGTGAAGCGAGGTAGGCGTCAGAAACCCGGCCTGGATACACATGCGTACAAATTTTAAATGGCAGTTCGAAAACATTCGGGAAAGCCGCCATTCTCAACGTTTGGTGCCGCAATAATAGCATCTTTAACAAGCGGCATAGGCTACCTACAATTGAGTGACTTCCTGACCACGTGCATGAAATTATTCCAGATCGTTGTGCGAGGAAGCCTGTTGAGCATTTGAAAGGTACGTTTCTGTACACAGGAAGTAGACTGGCATACCTCCATCAAGGTGGCAAGCGGTGGCTCGCAGTTAAAGGGGTGACGACCTGTAAGGCGAACCAGCTCGGGATGACGCGGGATCCAGTCGTCCGAAGTTCCTTTGTCTCGCTCGTCGACCTTGGTAATCGGAATTTCTGCAGCATATCCCATCACCTTCTCATCCTCGGAAGCCGACTCTTCATCATCGAATTCTTCCGTCTCCGAAATGCTCAAGATCTTTTTTACAGGAGATCCCCGGAAGGCAGACGACACTTCTTCGTGCAAAACCTTGCAGGAATGGACATCTCCGTTGGGTAGCATCTTTTTTGACTGCAAATCGGTGTCAAGTTTTCCAACAGCGCTGTTGCTCAAAATCGGCGAGTCCAATGAGATTCCCATCACGTCAACAGTGAAAAATTCTACGTGCAATGTGCATTCACTACCGCCGCCAAAAACAAAATTCAAAATCTCACTCTAACAACTAGACTGTGCACCGCAGTTCTCGAAATCCTCCCGCAGACGAGGAATAATGATAAAAATAATAATAAGAAGAAAGGGGCAAGTCTTCTCGCAGAGTCGCAATCTTAGTAACGAGATTCTCCGTCTGCACAACACACAATCCACGTGAGTGAGAGGCATCTTGATGTGCCACAACGTCGGAAATCCGCCTCAGGTTCATTTGGTACGCAATTCATTTCATTTCTCCGTGGTCAATTCCGAGGGCAATTCTCCTATACGGATTCCTCGTATAGAGAAGTAAATTAGGACAACCAGTTGGCAGATTACGGCCAGCCGTGTCTCGTTCACAATTCTAAATATCAGTGAAATGAAAATTAATATTTCGCTTGGACGTCACCTTTCCTTTGGTGCCTTAACGTGAATCATACAAAATATTTTTAAAGATGAAAAAAGAAGGAAAAAAAAGATAAACATGAGCAACAGTCTTCCGGCCAGAGTGTGAGCCCCCGGCCCTTACTATTTTCTACACCTCAGCTGTCCAGTATACAGCACCCTCACAGCAATAGCTACTGTCATTGACACTGCCTGTGGGGCAACGATGCGACTACGTACAGCGCAACAAGACGATACAATCCGAGCAGTCGCAACAAACACACTCAGATACACATGCCTGCAAATGTTTTTCACTAGAAACAGTCCCGCAGTGCTTCCTGGACAAAGCAGCAGCGGCGGCATTGGCCGTGTGCGAAAGATTGCAAGACAGAATAACCACCGATTATGTGAAGGGGCCTGGACAATCCATCATCAAGAGGTGAGCAAGGAGCTTTGCTTACTAATATTCCAAGCAGGACTGAGATCCACGTGACGATGTTTGGAGTGCGGGATGGGGAGGCCTTGTAAGTGAGGACAACCGCAGAGATGAGTGAATCAAGCCAATTGGGACATGGCCTAGGGAAGTGGGAGGGATGCGGAGCCTAAATAATGCACACAATTGGCACAATCGAATGTGGGTGCTGTATACTGGACAGCGGAAGAAGTGGTTGGAAACCAACCATTGGGCGTTCCCACAAGTGTGGCGAGGCGAGTAGAAGGGCTCCTCTCCCGGGGATGTCGGCGACTGTCCGCCGCGGTTGACCGCACGCACAGTGTTTACTTGCTTGCCCAGGGCACCTTTCTTCCCCAACCCTAGATTAGCCCTTTACTGGTGATCGCTTCCTGGTCACTTAGGGTGAAGCCATTGTGCGGTTTTACGCCTGCCAGATTCCTTCCCTGCCCCGTCAGGGCTTTCCTTGCACTCGGATGCTGCGAGATCCTCCAAGTTGCAACGGCTCCGAGTGGTTACATTTTCAACCGCACGTTGGCCCAAAGATTCGGCAGGATCAACTTGCACCAAGGCTAATAATTGCGATATTTCTAATCTTACCGGGTACACAATGCGACAAAGGAAGTAGAATGTTTAGTAACTAGTGCGTTACTAGTAAGAAATAAGAACTCATTGACATGTAAGCTTTGACTTGTAATAAAGTGTGGTTGTGTTTCCCGATTTTCTTGGTGTAATATTTGTGAATACAACAGGTTCTAGGTTATGGGCCCACACTTCGTTGTTTGTTGTTATGTTAGAGTGCTAGATCAGAGTGTCAATCAAGATCAGAGTGCTAGATTTTAATTAATTCAGTTGTTTACAACCGATTTAGTTGTTTGTTTTCTATCAGAGAGATTGACTTCTTTAAGAGCGATTGGTCAAGTGATTAGAGCAATTGAGTGGCTACTCCTGTATTCAATATATTTTTCTAGTTTTTCAGTGGCAGTTTTTAGAAAATTGCAGTGCTTATTCTTATTCTCTCGAACATTTTCTTGATTTTCTTGAACTTCTTGATTTTACACGCATTACATTTTTCAACTTCCTACTCATTTTTTGTTTCTTACGATTTGATCAGATTTCACAGTTTCAAATTTCACATATGGAAGTGGCAGATCAAGAATCGATTTTGAATTTAAAAGTAGTGCCAATGTTTATGAACTAAAGTTACAGTTCTTTGATGCTAGAACTCAACATGATCAATCCATTTTTGGTTTCATAGCTCAATTGGAACTTATTATGAGCAAGTTGAGGATTTGGATGATACTACATTTACGGATTCTTGCATGATATCTAAACTCACTTCGAACCTCCTTGCTAGTTTTGACGGCTTTTATTCAGCATGGAAGAGCACAACAAAGGATGATCAAAACTTATCTAATCTGAAATTGCCTATGAGAACAACAGAACGCAAGATTTTATTACAAATTCAGAATGATTTAACTATGGAGTCAAGGGTGTTTTATGCTGGACATGGATGATCTTTCAATGTGGGTAGTTGTCGAGGCCAGTCCACTAGTGAGAGTTATAATCCATGCAGATTAATTTCAGGTATATATCCTAACCAACTTGTTCAAAATTATTTACAAAATATTTCAAGACGAGGACCTTTTCAATATCAAGGACCTATGCCGGGGTATCCAAGTTCTTCTTCTTCTTCTTCTTCTCGACGGCTACAGACTTTATCAAGGCAACTTTATCAAAAAGCAATTATTGACCTGATTTCTCACAAAACTATTATCAACCAGATATAGCTTAGAATAATCAAAATTCTTATCTACCTTAGTATTATCAAAATATAGAGTTTAAAAATTTAAATATCAATAAAATGAAAAAAAAAATCTGATGTAATAATTGTGGAATCCTTAGCCATATGGTAATTGAACTAAAATCTTGATATACTCCAAAGCAAAATGGGGTTTCAAAAAGAGATAATTGTACAATTATGGATGCTGTTAGAAGTATGATTTATTATGCTCATCTTGATCTTGTGTTTAAGGCAAATGCTGTTAACAACATAGTTTACACCTTAAATTGCACATGTTTTCATTTTCTTCCAAGTATTACTCTTTTGAGGCTTATACTAGAAAGCTTATACTAGTTTTTTTTTTTTTTTTTTTTTTTTTTTTTTTCATACGAAACCTTTTAGGTACAAATTTTTATAATTGTGTATCTGATAAATTAAAAAAAGAAAACTATGCTAAAAATCACATTGGATTTTTTTGGATAGTGAGATGAATCAAAAGCTTATCAAATCTCAGATTTTTTACATAAACAAGTAATAATTAGTCAAGATTATATCTTTGATGAATACAATTATATACAAGAAATATTATCCAAAGAAAATGTTATTTAAAGTACAGATTTGTTTAAAATTTCTTTTCACGAATCTCTTTGAATTTTTTAAGAATCCATATGACCTTTCTTACTAGAATTAAATATGCCATATATAAGTATACTTCAAAATTTTATAACAACAGATCTAGATTTTTACAATTCTCAAATACATGAAAGGAATGTGAATAATGAAAGTATTCATCATGTCAATCATGGGTATGATATCAATATGATCAACAAAAATAATTCTCATGATGTTTAGTGGGAGAAACAAAAATTGTTGTTTAAAAAAATCCTAGTTATATAATTAATTGAAGTAATGACAATCAAGCTCTTCATGGCAGTATGCACAGCAATAATGACTTCATTTGTATTAATAATTTGGATATTAATAGAAATTTATAATATAATTTTATTCAACATAATACATTGCAAATTATAATTGATCTTTTTCAACAAAATTTTGATGATGTTCTTAATGTTTTATCTTCCAATGAGAATTCTTATGACATTCTTGTTGAATTAAATTAAAAAATTTCATCATTTCCAATTCATCTTACACAACGTTCTTATTGTTTTCCTAATCATTATAGATATTTTGTAAATGAGTAGCAATATATATCTACAAGTTCTATAATGACATTATTTTTTGCATCCATTGTAGAAGATATTAAAAAATTTAGAACCTACTATTATTTAAAGTTTAATTTCTTTGTAGCATCAATTATCAAAGTTATCTATTACTTTACCATAATTAATTCATGATTCTATGAAATCATCAATTACTTCATAAAATATATCTACATCTTTATTTGAGTGAAATTCTATTCTATCAATTATATAATTTATGACTCAATTTATACCTTCTCTTTTTCAATTATATAAAGAGACACTTCTTTCAATATTAAAACAAGACTAGATTATCTCAAAAACCCAAAATCCTTCTAATCCACGACAACATAAAGCCTCATCACAAAATAGAACAAAATAGATCAAAACAAAATTAAATGGAATTACACAGAATAGGACATGAAAGACAAAATTGGATAAACAAAAATGGAATGGAATAGAACTGAACAGAAAGATGCAAAACCAAATTTTACCAAGAGAAAAGATCCAAAGCCATAATTGATCAGATGATCCAAAAGGCCTTAGCCAGTCCTATCTATACCTTGTCCTATCATCTTAGATTTTCTAGAATGTTCCTAGGTAGTAGATCCTATCTAGATAACAACCTTAAATTCTTTTTTTAGAAGTTTCTATGATAGGACCTATTTAGATAACCATCCTAAGCTTTTTTTTAGAAGGTTTCATGATGGGCCTCACCAAAATAACTACCCTAAACTCTTTTTAGAATGTTCTACAATGGATCCTACTTGGTCCACTAACCTAATTTCAATTCTAAAAACTTCTATGGTTCTAACTATCTATACAATTATCTTATCTATACCCTATTACAATTAATCTCCCTCCACTAATATGGAACGTCCTTGTTTCACTCCCGATAGTAATTCCGAATTGTCTCTTGGCAATGGATGAGATTTTATGCATGTTTCCATAGTACATCGTGAATAGAATAACCTTTCTAAAAAACTTTGTATTGAAGTTGTGGACGTCCACAACCACAACGGAAGTAGTGATGCTTCAAAATGCTATCCACTTCATATTCTTGTTGGACATTAACTATAATTAGTGGTGGTGGTAGTTGGTATTGATCCGGAAAGTGCTTTGGCTCAATATGAAATTTCTTCAGTCGCAAAACATGGAAGATTAGATAGATCTAAATATGTAATAAAAGCTCGAGGTAACATGTGATATTAGAAATCACTATAGAAATGTGGAAAGGTTCAAGCCACTGAGGTGCTAGTTTACAGATTTGGACTGATGTAGCAAGTGGCAAGTTGGCATTAGAGAGTTATATCTAATTACCCTCCCAGAAGGTCTTGTATTGTTGATGGTTATTTGCATACTACTTTTGTCAATTCTATGCAATAAGGAGGTGGTGCCATGCATCTTGTAAGCCATTATATAAATTCCTTTGTTGTTAAGTTATTGGTGTTGATGGAATAATAAAAAGTTGGTCGTGTCATTGGATACTGATTGGTATTAAAAAAAATGGTGAATGACTAATACTTGCTTGAATATTATCATTGTAAGCAAACTCTAATGGCATTAAGTATTCATCCCAATTATTAGATGAACCACCACAAATGCTTACAACATATCTTTTAAGATTCAATTTGTATGTTCTATTTATCCATCTATTTGAAGATAGAAGATTGTTGACATGGCAAGTTGTATGCCTAATAGCTTGAATAAGACTTGTCAAAAACTTCTCGTGAAGCATGGATCCCAATCTGAAATGACAACATGAGATAATTCATGGTGATAAAAGATGGTATCAAAGAAGACTTGTACAAGCATTGAGGCATCAATATCTCAGTGCATCACGGCCAAATGAAGTTGCTTTGAGAGTCGATCTATAAAGACGGCAACCATAATATGATTATGAGACGTTTGTGGCAAACACGTAATGAGATCCATAGTCACTTGCTTCCAATGAGCCATATGTAGCAAAATTGGCTGTAATAGTCTAGGAGACGCTACGTTGCATATTTTATTATGTTAACATGATTTGTAAGAGCATACAAAGACTCAAACATCACAATCTAAACATATCCAAGACTATGTCTTTGAGATCTATTCTAGAATCTTCTCTTATCTCAGATATTCAGATATTGGGATATCATGTTCCTCCTGAAATATGCTTATTTGGAGTTTAGCATTATTAGATACATAAATTTTCTTCTTAAAATAGAACAAGCCATCACTAAGAATATAATCTTGA